ACTCCATCTAACAAAACAAGAATAAATCAGCAAGAACCACTGTGACTGCCTAAGGGTATGCAGGATTGGGGCCTTGGAATAGGAGCTCTTCCAAACAGTTTGTTTGGACAATGTCTAGCAGATAGCCCAGTAGCACCCCTAACTATCTACATGTCTTAGGTTTTCATATGGACTTTATCACCATAGTAACATAGCACCTAACAATCTTTAATTGTAAATGTCCTCAAGCAACAAATAACGGGTGGGAGAGAGATACAGCACATAACTCAGACATCCATATTGGCTATCCCCAACAGGCCCTCTATTGAGCCCTTACAGCTGGCTCATTTCTCAGATATCTTGGTAGAAACAGGTCTAGAGGAAGAATTTAAGTTCAGTGCATTAAGAGTTCCCATGGAAGAAAGCAGGAAGAGAGAAATTAATAGGGACAGAGGGAGCCTCTGGCAGGGATGAAGAGGAGTGGTTGGTTACATGGTTAAGAGCTGCAAGTGTTAAATAGGATAACCATGCTGTGACCACCTAGGAACTTCACTGTCACCACTATGCTGCATAAAACAGCGTTATGAATTTCACATAGATCCTCTGGCCTCAAGAGTGCAGGCTGTGAGCTTCAAGGAAAGACTCCACGACTACTTTGTTATTTTCATTTTTATAGACATTTCTGTGGTGCCCATCACAATCATATATTCGCAATACAGGGACCGAGCACACAGTTGAGCAATTCCAGCCCAATCCAATACAGGGTAGTGGTGCACATTCACACTAGCTTGGTTTGTTACAGTACCATTACTGCTGTTGATTGTGAACAGTTAGTCACATGGATGATTGACAGCAAGGATAGACCTTCAGCACAGGGATCCTTTTCTATTAGTGTGTCTGTACAGGGCCTAACCTACCTGAAATTTACCTCCCTGTGCCTTACTGCCAAACCTGTGGTCACAAGGGTGCTTGAGCTAGATCCCCTCATTATAAAAGAGGGGATGGTTGGCAGGGTGTTCCCTGTGACAGCCCAAGTTTGGTGACTTTCTAGGTATGCTGCAAAAGACACCTGTTCAATAGGATATCCGGAGAAGCTGAGGTTAGGTGGCGAAGAGGATGGCTCAGGTCCTGTGGAACTGATTTTCATGCCGCTGAGGATCAATTTAATTATATTTATTGTACAATTATGTCGGGGCACTGGAACCTTGGATAGGCATCTTTATTATCTACATAAATGAACAGACAGGGCCCCCCATCTCAATGGCGGAATCCAGGTACTACTGTACTTAAGGCAACATGTACTACTCCAAGCCAGAAGGAGAAAGGTATTGCCTTCAGAAAACAACTTTGTGGGTTTTAATTTACTGAATGAATCAGTATTGCTAGCCTGAAAAACAGAGTATAAAAAGTTGCAATGGTACCTGGCATTTCTGAGTAAATAACCTTCCCAGAGAGTTCTGGGCTCCACCTTTTAAAGAGTTGTAAACTTCTGCCCTATTTTTAAACTTATTCTTATGTCAAAGTTCAGTATACTACATGCAGGATCCTGGATGTTCTGAAAATGACTAAAAGATGGAAAGGCTACAAAAAGCTCTCCTTTCTCCTCCTGGATAACTTTCTGTAGTAATATTAAAAAATACTATGTCTCTTTCTGTCATTTTATGGTTGAAATTTCTTAAGAGAAAAATCCTCCAATGCTGGCACTAAGTAATTAAGTGAACTAAATGAAATTGATTGCTGATCTTAATCTAGTTAATAATGGAGCCTTGCTTACGTCTCAGAACATTGGTCTGTTGCTAAATAGAGGAATTCAGTCTCCAGTGTCTTCTGGCATCTTTTGGAACATTAGGTTATGCAGTTTCACAGCCTTGCTTTCTAATCGTAGCCTATGCAAGAAGTTCTAAATATGCTCTGAATTGGGGGAGAATGTTTGCAGTTAAGTGATGGTCTGTCAAGTTGCCTAAAGACCACAGGCTAAGGCAGACCGTCACTTAACTGCAAACATTCTCCCCCAATTCAGAGCAGCTCTGCCTTTGGATGGCGTCCTGCAGCTCCCATTGACTTCAACAGGAGACGCACATAAGGGCAGGATTTAGCCTCAAGTCATTCGTTTAACAAATTCAGCAAAACGTCCATTATATATGATTTTTTAATTACACACGCTTGGATATCATAGCAAAGACAACTGACTTTTCTCAGTCTGGCCCCAAGACCCACCAAGTTAGGGTATGTCTTCACCAGCAACGTTGCGGCACCAGCACTGGGAGAGAGCTCTCCCAGCGCTGTAAAAAACCCACCTCCAGGGGGGAATAGCGTGCTCCCAGCGCTGGTGCACTGTCTACACTGCCACTTTACAGCACTTGAGGGGGGAGGGGGTGTTTTTTCTCACCCCCGAGCAAGAAAGTTGCAGCGCTGTAACGTGCCAGTGTAGACAAGGCCTTAGACTCCTACCTTTATTGCCTAAGAGCAGCCTTGCAAACCTGTCATAATTTGCCAGCCCTGGCACAGAATCCATTGGCTTTTATTATGAAGACAATGAGAACACAGTTTTATAATTCTGATCAATACACACACAAAAAGGCTTTAGTGTTAGTAGCAGGTCAGTACAGAAACACTCAACTGGGTAGATGCTGCTTTTTAGATCTCATGTCTGAAGCAAAAGCCTCTGAACTGTGCTCTTATGTAACCAAGAAACAAAACACAAAGCCTTAAAGCTATTAAAATTCACTTCGGACAAGACTGAATTCCAGCATGTGGTCAACCACAACTATCAACTGCCATTACCCTTCCCAAGTCATCCTCATAAAACATTCACCGCTAATCCCCACTGCTAAAAATCAAGAAAAATAAAATCCACCCCACCCTTACATCCCTGCACCTGAATCTGAAAGAAACCTCGGGATTCCAGGCGTTCAATCATTGCATTAAAAGAAAATATTCTAGCCCTGCCCCTTTTCATGACATGGTCCCTTCCACAGTGCAGACATGGACCCAGTGACCCCATCACAAACTGCTCTTTTCCCTTTGCCTGCCTCAGGCTGCACCAGCCTTACAGCAAGAATGCATAATACACGTCCTCGGAATGGTCCTTTCCCCTACCAAGAATAGTCAATATGCACAAGTTGCAGGGTCTAGAAAGAACAGATTATTACAGGTTCAAGAGTAGCAGCCGTGTTAGTCTGTATCCGCAAAAAGAAGAACAGGAGGACTTGTGGCACCTT